TTTTTTTTTTGCCCTTTCAATCTCAGATTCTCAGCTTTTTCATAAAAAACATACGGGATTCAATTGTGTGTTGGATCACCTCTGATCCATAGTTATGGCGCTGAGGTCTATTTGTCGGGGCTTGAAGAACAACAGTCGGCTGTTTTCGCCGCTGTTCAATTCGTGCTCGCATTTGCACTCTCATTCGACCAGCTTCGGTTAGTGTCCCTTTCCATTGAACTCACTCTTTTCATGAAAATCATGTAATTTTTGGGTGATTGGTTTTGTGCTTCATAGTTCCCCCGAATTGAGCTAGCCCGATGAATAAAAACGTGGTCTTTTTTTTTTTTTTTCCATTTTTCAGGGTTTAAGGATGTTAGGGAGGAGGAAAAGAGTCAATTGGTGGGCAACGTTTTCACCAGCGTCGCGTCGAATTATGATCTCATGAATGATTTGATGAGTGGTGGTCTGCATAGATTGTGGAAAGAGAGGTTGGTCTGACTTCGTCCTCTTTACCTGTTCTTTTTCATTTTTGTTCTTGTTTTCTCTTTACATTAGAGCTTAACACATGTGGGTTTCTTCTGTTGCCAATTATTTGTAGATTGGTTTCGAAATTGAATCCGTTTCCAGGGATGAAACATCTTGATGTGGCTGGTGGAACAGGTGAGCTGTAATTAATTATGTTAATAACTTGTTTGGTGTGTCTGTGCACGTACGTGCATGTGTGCGACTGAGCTTGCATGTGAGTTCATGTTTGTGTGTGTCCTGAGATGTGTGTCGCGAACAGGAAAAGGAAGTTAATTGTTTATGCTACTGGATTACAGAATGTCGAATCAGTTATTGTTTTCTTTTCTAGCATACTTGATTTGACGTTCGTATTTGTAGCTGGACATGTTGAGTAAACTTGTATGTTGAAATATGATCTGTGGATTTATAACATATGGGCCTGTACCACATATTGAACTTCCTTATGTGAAGGTTCCCTTCTGTTCAGACTTACGGACGAAGTAACAAAGTCTGTGACATCGTCAAATATATCTGTAGTGAATTTATGTGTGAAAGTTGGATGGGAAACTTAGTTCTAACCGTGTTAGATACAAAGAAAGTGTTTTCTCTTTATGTTTAGCAATGTTTTCAGGTCGGCTGGTCGAACCTGGTCGACCACGGACCGACCAGACGATTAATCGTGATTAATCGTCGACCAGCTAGATTAATCGGGCTGCCTCCTTCCTATATATATCCTAACCCTAACAGGCCAAACAGGCCAAGCCCAGCAGCCCACATACCAGCCCAAAAAGACAAATATATGTCCTGGTCGTCCATATGCCCTGGTCGGACGATTAATCGCGATTAATCGACGATTAATCGGACGACCAGGTTTCTGGTCGAGCTGGTCGGGTCGGACCTCCTAATCGAGCACTTGGGAGCGACCAGGACGATTAATCGCGATTAATCGCGATTAATCGGACGACCTAAAATCAGGGATGTTTAGTATCCATGTCATGTTCAGCTATACAACTCTTCATTCTTGATACATTACATTACAGTTGAGCTGAAATGTCGGGGGGCGCAGCCTTTTACTTGTTATTTCGAGAGTTAATTCTGTTTGGTTTTCTTGTATAGGCCTGATTAAATAGCTTTTCTAATATTACAGGGGATGTGGCTTTCAGAATACTGGAAAGTATAAACAGTGTTCGGCATAGAGCCATGAGAGACATTCATGATGATAATCTGCTTGAAGAAACTCAAATATTTGTATGTGATATAAACCCAAATATGTTGAATGTGGGCAAAAAGAGGGCCCAAGAGAGAGGTAACTCGATCCTCTATTTTCTGTACTTCAACTACCGGAAATGCAAGTTCATTTCTCTTTGTAATTTTCTCTAAATCAGTTGCCTATATATTCAATCGAGCATTGCCTGATAATGCATGAAGGTCTTGGAGAGGATAAATCCCTCGTGTGGGTTGAAGGAGATGCTGAAGCATTGAAATTTGAAGATAAGTCGATGGATGGTTATACAATTGCTTTTGGGATACGAAATGTTACACATATAGAAAAAGCTCTTTCAGAAGCTCACAGGTTCCCTTCTGATTCTATGTTTCATTAGTGCTTATTCTCAGAGCGTGGTATTGACTCTGTCGTTTCATTGATAAAACTACCGTGTCACAGTCTTTATTATATCCGTCTATTTTACATATTTATGTATCCGACTATTTGGTCTTGGTTGAGGTTTCGCTCTGCTAATTCTGATTGTGGTCGATATCTGTTACAATACTGATTATTACATTACTTTCAAGAACATTTGAAATGAATATGTTTTGTTTGAATACTCTGTGTAATGGAAAATTTATATATCTAAATTCCTTGCAATACCCAGTTTTCAAGAACAGCAGTTCAATTGCTTCCGTGTTATTTTCTCTTAGGCACAACATTTACTCGTTTTTATATTTGATTTTCCTGCTCATACAGGCTATCTACGTTTTATGATCTATTTTTCATTTTGAAATTGATGCCGTCTTTATTTGATAATTTTCTTTGTTGTATTTGCAGGGTACTTAAACGGGGAGGAAGATTTCTTTGCCTTGAACTGAGCCATGTCGAAGTCCCCGTTTTCAAATATTTGTAAGTTTTTCCAATGTGGCTTTTGATAGGTCCTCATCTCTTCTCATACTTCATACAACCTAAGATTTCTTTTCCAGTACTTTGGGTTCTCATTATCTTATGATCACTCATTTTTCGGTGAAACTTTTTTGTGGTAATTTCTTTCTAATATTTATTTAATTTTCGATCTATATTCCGAAATAGATGTATGATTATATTTATTTTTAAACTTTTTGTTTCTCCAGGTATGACTATTACTCATTCTCAGTCATTCCAGCCATTGGAGAGCTAATAGCAGGTGATCGTGAATCTTATCAATATCTGGTCGAGAGCATTCGCCGTTTTCCTCCACAGGTAGAATGCATAAGGGAAATCTGATTAGTATATTTTGTTGCATTCATTAGTCGTTCTGGAGAGAACTGATTGAAATTCATATGCTTCATATCTTCATATTTGCCTCTGCAGCAAGACCTATATTAGTTGTAAATGCACATATAAGATTATGTTAACGTACACGAACCGTATAAGGGAACACGAGTAGCTGAGTTTTCTCACTTTATAGTTTCTACCGTAAGGTTCACAGTCTAATGGTTTATTTCTCTGACTCACATTTACTTTGTCTTTGGCCGTTTCAATTAGGAGCAGCATTCAAAACACTTGGATTCATGTTAAAAAAAAAATAAAAAATCAATCCCAAATTTCCCAGATTTCATAAGATGATTTTTCTTTTCTTTTTTTTTCTATAATAAAATAAAAAAAAAATTAAAAACAACAATGGGAAGTTTATATATGATTTATATATAATGAATCATACAGAGTGGAGTCGTAGACATCAGTTGTGAAGTAAATGCGACTTATGATCAACGAATGGGTACATACCATTGCACCTGCAATCTCCCTCTTCTACTCGAGTAAACCTTGAATGTGATACACATTTGTGAAGCTCGTGTAATTCTCAGTTGTTGTTTTTATTTTGTTCTCTTTTGACACACATGTGCTATCTAAACATTCACAAACAGTCATATGATTTAGAAAAAGCCTTTGCTACATTGTTCTTGATCCAAAACTTCATGTCCCGAGAGTTTGCTGACTTTTTTAACATTTACTTTTAACGGTCATATATATATATGCAACTGCAGGAGAAATTCGCCTCGATGATAGCAGAGGCCGGGTTTCAGAAGGTCGAGTACGAAAACCTCGTTGGAGGAGTAGTCGCCATTCATTCTGGCTTGAAGCTTTAGTTCGACTAGCATTTTTCGCCATTGTTCTTTGATCTGCTTCCGTTTGGACTTCTCTTTCGGTAGCCAGGTGAAAGATAAATAAATAAAAAATAAAAAATAAAAACTGTGTAGAAACAAGAAGGGATATCGTGACTAGTGTTTGATTTCGTCAGGCGGATTTGCATTGGTGCTTTCATCCATTGAAAATCATGCATCTTTGTTGTAGCACTTTTGTGGAAAAATGGTTCTATTTACTTCTATCATGATTCTTTTTATTTTTATTTTTTTATTTTTTTGGCTTTTGTGAAAGTCCACTGTATAATAAATTTATGAACAAGTTAATTATATGTGTATATGTATGCAAATAAAGGGAAAATTTTGTCTAGTTACCGTTGGATCAACAAACAAGTGGTCGAATCTTCTGTAGTAAAATGGATTGGAAGTACAAGATGCTATATTGGGAGTGAAAATGTGTTATTTTTAAAGTCTCCAAATTCACAATTTCAATGAATTATGAATGGCAATATGATAAATTTTGTATGAAAAATGTTGAAAAAAAAAAAAATACGGAGGGGATGATAATTTTTGTCCTGAATTATCCATGAAAGACATGCCACAATGCTATCTTATTAAAAAAAAAAAGTGGTAATGGGCATTTATAGCACTTAACTAAAAGGAAACATGAAATATAACCATCTTTTTTAAAAAGATGATATATAGCCATATTGGGTTGCAAAAAGACTAAATTGCCCTTTTTTCATCTTTTTCAATTTTTTTGGCCGTCAAATTTTTCAGAGGTCGCTCTTTCAATTTTTTTTTTCATCTCTCTCTCTCTCCCTCTCTGCTAAAGCTTCGGCGATTCATTTGCAGACCTCCGGCGATTTCAAGTGACGACACGACTGCTCTTCTCCTCCACAGAGCCGCAACTCTTTTCTCCGGCGAAACAGGGTTCGTTTTTTGTTTTCTTTTTTGTGTTGCGATTTTTAGGGTTTTTTTTTACTTGAATTGCCGATTTCTCCTGCGAAACAAGGTGAAAGTTTTTTTTTTCTTTTTTATTTTCTTTTCGGCAGAGGCTCGGGCGGAGAATCTCCGCACACGGCGTCCCCGTCCACCCCACTACATGTGTCGGCGTCTAATGTGTCCGTTGGGCCAGCAAGGCCGATCCGCTTTGTGTACGCGGACGAGAAGGGAAGGTTCCACATGGATCCAGAGGCGGTGGCGCTATTTCAGTTGGTGAAGCAGCCCGTGGGCATGGTATCTGTTTGCGGCCGCGCTCGTCAGGGCAAGAGTTTCATATTGAATCAGGTAAATTTGGGAAAAGGGGCTGGTTAACGAGTTTATTCTGTTTGTAATTGCTACATTAGGGTTTTTGTACCATAAATATATTTGGGCGCCGACAAGTTTCTGATTCTTATTTTTCATGTTCTCCATGTAATCCGCATACTTTGCTTGTGATTTAGGTTTTTTGGTTTTGCTATATTTTGTGAAATTAAATCAGGGATTTTGGCGTTATGTGTTGTGAGTGATGAACTATGTTCTTATTTTGGACTGTACCAAACTCAAGACAATTTGCAAGGTAGGGAACTCAATTGGCTTTCTTTTTCGGTGGTGGGGGTAAGGGCTAGAGGTGAGGGGAATTGATCTTTTTGGGTTAAAAAAGAGTATGGTAACTTTTTTTTTAAGTAAAAGTCAAAAACTTGCTACTTGGTTTGTAGGCTGAGTCAAAAACTTGCTACTTGAGCAACCTATATGAATAAGCGAAGTACCAGGTAAGTAAGATTAGCATGTCACAAGTGAGTCGTATTTTTTGCCCCTTAGTGAATGGGAGGTAATAGTGGCTTCTTTAAGTTGACACTCACACTCTCTTTAGTATGCTTAGAGAGTTTAGTTGCTAATTAGGGTTACGACTAGTGGCAGCAGGTGCACTTTTCTATGCCTCTTGAGTGTGTTGAGGTTGTTTATGTAGTGAATGCCTATCGCCATATGGTTGGTCTTGAAGATATTATGAGTTGTAATAGCTGAAGCTGGTTAATATATGTTCATCTGGATGTTCCACTGGAGCAATCTTTTTGAGGGATGAGGCCTATCTTTTAAATTAGATTTTGTTAATGGTTAAGGAACTATGTTTTCCCTGATTGTGTTGTTAGTAGGTTGTTTCAAAAAATGATCTTATTGTTCAAGCAGTTGAAAGTATTAGTGTCATTTGCATGAAAGAAGAATTCTTGCTGCTGCTGCCACAGATTCTGCAGGTTGTCACCATGATTCTATACTCTCTTTGGCTTATGTAAAATTGAACCAAAGACTACTTATATCAAGCAGCAGAGATGGAGCTATGATGGTTTGGAAGTAAAATTGAACCAAAGACTACTTATATCAAGTGGTCTTTCTTCTAAAGACCACTTGGGTTCGAAAATATTATTCACAACTTTAACTCTTGTTTTCTTCTCTTTTCCTGAAGGACTACATTGTTTTATTTATATATATATATATATATATATATATATATATATATATTCTCATTTTGCTATTTTTTCAATACTCTGCAGGTTCTGCTGAGGATGCCAAGAAGACTCCTTCAACCAGGGAAGCTTCATGAATATTCAAATACTTTTATGGTTGGTTACATTTTGTTCTTAAGAGTATTATCAAATTATGATTTGGACATAAAAAGAAGAATTAATTGCCAAAACTATTTAACATTGTTGCGGTGGCTAGTGTTAATTTAACCTCATATCTATGAGCAAAAATTTGTAAAAGTATCTTTATAGTAAGATTTTATAACCATAAAAATGGGTTGCTAAAGAGGCCAATTTCAATTTAGGCATCTCGGTGGTGGTGGTTTTATTTTTTGATTTAACTTGATATTTGCTAAAACTCCTTGTATAAGGATCTTGTTCAAGTTTGAATTGTTTGATTATGTGAACTGCAGTGGAGCTTTTGAATCCGTGAAGGGTAAGCAAGATAGTATCCTATGGGATCAATTTGGAAATATACTTTGTGAAAACGAATAATCTAGTGTGCAAAATATTTGTGGATGAAATAAAAGAAAATAATGTCACAAATCCAAAAAGATTTGATATCTTGTTTGTGATCACATTTTATTTTTTATTTATTTTTTTATTTTTTTAATGATAGAGGAAACTCTAATAGAACAAAAAGTAAAGTTTTATAACTCGAGGAATCAATTTACCCTTATAAAACAAAATACAATGGATGCAACAATCGTAATTTTGTGTACTTATTAAATAATTATGTGATTGTAAACAATCGTAAAATCTATGACCTTACTATTAGAATTGGTGTGATGCAACAATATTTTGTTGGTTGAACTATTTTTTGTGGGTTGGATTAACCGGAATTGTTTCAACCGGCTTTCAAATGATATTTTGAACTTCGACCCAAGCAAGGACGATCTTCAGCCGCGGTTCACCCATTGGGACACCCGCTCGAGCTCAGGAGCCAGTCAGCCCTACCCCCCTCCGCCGCCACCACCACCACCTTCGGATCAACAGTGACTTGTCACTGTGCTTTGAATGTTGTTCGCACGTTTTCATTATGTTATATCCTAGTTTTGAATGTTGTTCGCACTTTTGTACTCCAGAACATATTTTTCTCTTACTTTTTGATAGGAACTCATCTTTGAGTGTGAAAAACTCCAAGATTGTTATTTTCGGATTCGTTTGCACTCGGATTTTGACGTTGAACTTTCGTATTAATCGTAAGCTTCTATTTTCGTTAATTCATGAATGTCATGGCTTTGTTTAATATGAATGTTTTTGTTGAGATCGCTATGAGTAGCTAAATTCTCTAGCTAGGGTTAGGGGATTGTCGTAACAGGTTTTGAAATTTGCGCCATGTTTATTTCTTGCCAAGAAACAGGTTTCTTGCCAAGAAACAGGTTTCTTGACAAGAAACAGGTTTCTTGCCAGGAAACTGGTTTCTTGAGCGAAAAACTGGTTTCTTGCCAAGAAACTGGTTTTTTGCCAAGAAACTGGTTTCTTGTCAAGAAACAGGTTTCTTGCCAAGAAATTGGTTTCTTGAGCGAAAAACAGGTTTCTTGCCAAGAAACAGGTTTCTTGACAAGAAACCAGTTTCTTGAGCAATCCCCCAAAATCTGTGAAGGTACCTATTCATCGCCGTGGCCGCGACCAAGGAATTCTCCGCGGCTGCGACCACCCTCCGCGGCCGCGGGACACATCTGAGACCGTGATATATTTTGCGCTGAACTTGAAATTTGGGACCCAAAAAATACTCGCCGCGGCCGCGGCTATGAAACGCCCCGCGGACGCGACCACTTATTTTTTTTCCTTTATTTTATTCATTCAAAATTTTAGGGACTTCACACACTTCACTTCAATTTTCAATCATCTTAAAAATAACTACAACAAAGGCCAGTAGAAGGCAACACAAGTTGTAGAGTAATGCTCAAGAAATCGTTTCTAGGAGCTCAAAAACTGTTTCTAGGGCTCAAGAAACCGTTTTTAGGAGCTCAAGAAACTATTTCTTGAGCTAAAGTTATTTCTAGGGCTCAAGAAACCGTTTCTTGAACTGAAATCGTTTCTTTTTCTTTTTTGTTCAAGAAACTGTTTTTGCTCAAGAAACTGTTTCTTGAACAAGAAACTATTTCATGTTCAAGAAATTGTTTCTTCTTAAAAATAACGATTTCTTAGGCTCCTAAGACTGAAAAACGGCACAACAAACGGTACAAGAAAAGTATGGTGGTGATGAACTCCAAAACAAAGCCCCGTTTTTTGAAAGCAAAAAAAATCCATTTTCTTGAACTCCTAAAAAATATTAAACAAAAAAATCGTTCTTTTTCTTTTTTTTTTTTACGAAACGATAGATAACAAAAAAAATGGTTCTAGAAAAATCAATAATTTTGGGAGCTCATACACTGTTTTTAGAACAAAAATAAATGTTTTCAAAAAATTATTTATTTAACATATTTAAAGAAAAAAATAGGTTTGCAATTTTTTTTATGAATTTCCAAAAGGTTTATGTTCCTTTTTTCTTCTCAAGGTTTATGTTCCTCTTTTCTACTTGTACCTCTTGGTGTACCACTTGGTTTACATCCAAAGGGTACATGTATCCATTTACCTTTAATGAATAATTTAGTAAATTATTTGTTAAGGGTAAATGGGTACATGTATCCTTGGATGTAAACCAAGTGGTACACCAAAAGATACATGTAACATGATCCTTTTTAAAATGAATTTTTAGGAATGGATTTTGGGAAAGATGTTTTTTTTTTTTTTTTTTTTTTTTTTTTTTTTTTTTTTTTTTTTTTGCTGAATGGCGCGTGGAGATGGAAGGAAATTGGGCAAGTGGGGATGAAGGTAGGGGGTGGGGATGGAGAATCTTTCATTTTTTATTTTTTATATGTATTTGGTAGGTAAAATACTTAGTAAGGATATACTTGTCTTTTTCTTACTTAAAATGGCTATATTTCATTGTTTTTTAACAAATGGCCATATTTCATTTTTTGGTTTAAGAAAGTGCTAAAAAAATGTGGCTCTGTTATTTAATTATATTGATAATATTGATGATAGTGAGTTGAGTTAAAGTTGAGTTAAAAAAGTGGATGAGTTAAAAATGTTTGGATTTTTTTGAGAAATTTTTGTATCCAATCAAGCGATTCCAACTTAATTTTGATATTTGAGGTGATTTTAATTTTTATTTTTTAGAGTTGAAGAAGAATAAGAAAGAGAAACAGAGAATCTGAATATGTGAACTTCATTATTTTTTTTTATATTTTTTTTTTTTTTGAAAAGATACGAAAAGCTGAGGTTCAAGATATGTGATATACATATACAGTTTCATGGTAAAAAAAGAGATAAAGTGACGAGAAGGAAATAGCACAAAAATTAACAGTCCTGTCAAACTTGGAGGAGATGATTGTCAAACTTGGAGGAGATGGTTTTCCGGTAGAAATGCGGCCGTTTCCGGCAAAAATTGACTCCGAGTAACTTACGGTGCCCTTCCTCTAGCGCCAAACTGTTGATGTCGAAAATCGGACGATTAACGATTAAATACGAGTTGAATTTTTCATGTGAAGATGAAGAAAAAAGATAGGTGAAAATGGTGTTTATTTCTTAGAGAGATAAAGTGCTGGGGGAGAAAAATGAATCATCCCCTCTGTTTTTTGTGTTAAGTCATTTATTTGTATGACCTCATTTTTTACTAGTGGGAGAGTAAATAAGTAAAAAATATTACACTATTATTTAATATGAGATAATCATCGTGGGACCCGCTTATGACTTTTGACAGTTCCGATTGACGTTGGTCTTCTCGGCAACTGTCTTGTTTACTGTAGGCGATTTCTTCATGATATA